GAAAAAACCCTTGCATCGTGGAATGGTAGCCTTGGGACAACTAATTAGAATTTTATTCAAGACAAAAGTCAAACATGTAGTGCTAAAGTGCAAGATAGAAATGCAAAATTCCAAAAGCAAAAATGAAAGGTAACTTCACCTTACAAACCTTCTGCAAGCAGCTTACTGAGGCAACTTTAGGAGAGCAGAAGTTAATCTGCAAAGATTATTTATTCAGTTATTAGTTGCTCTAGGAAAAAAAAAAAGCTCTATTAATTTGGTTCACTACCAGCATTTACTCAAAAGTTTAATTTATAAACATCAAGCTGATCCTTGCTTTAGACTAACTCAGAAAAAAACCCTGGAGTCTGTACTGTAGATCTATCTTTAGGAAAACATAATTATTTCTGAATCCAGGAACTGCTCTGGGTTGGAGCAGCAGCTAATATCCTAACCAGAATTTCCTTGATCATTACTCAAGCAGTAGCATTTTTATTTAAAAAAAAACCCCTTAGTCCTCCTCCCCCACCAGTTTCCCCATTTCTCTTCTAACACATTCCAATCTAATTTTAGTCTTTTGAGAAGGTTTTTTTCCAGATCAACCCACTCTTTTTCACATTTAAATAATTTTCAGTTTTTAAAAGAGCTCAGTTTTAGCAGGTGCTTCAGTAGCTAGGCAATAAGAAGTCTCTTGGGAACATCTTCCATGTTTCCCAAATGGATTAGCCTGGAAATTTGGGGAGAGCACATTAGACAAAATAACCATGCTGCTTAAGAGTTTCATTCCAGCTTTGAAATTCAGAGAAAGAAATGCAGTCCCCAAAAGAAGCATTTGTGCTCCCTGTTAACAAATGAAGAAACAGCTGCTACACTGGCACTACTGGGATGGACCTTGGAGGCAGGAAAATTCACCACACACACTCAGAGGCCAGACATGGAAGCAAACAATGCAGCTCCTCCTTTTTGGCAATACTCAGCTTCAGTGTAGCCCCAGGACCAGGAATTCTCCATGGTTTGCAGCCCTGGCCCCAGTGAGTGCATTTCCCTGGCTCCCAGTGGGAAAGGTCCCAGCATGGAGTCAAAGCAGCAGAGACTTCACCAGGACCTGCAGCCCCCACAGCTGAACCAGGGCTGCTATCAGCAGCTCTGGGAACTGAACTCAAGGCCAAGATACCTTTAGGATACCCCTCCCCTGATAAAAGACAGCCTGGCCCTTCCATCATCTCCAGCTATCTGAAAGACACCTTTTCCCTCTTTTGGCTCCTGGAAACTCAAAGCACTGCAGTACATTTCAGCAACTGCTTCTTCTTGTGGTCCCAAACTGCAGGAGGAAACCTACTGACAGTGATGCCTCTGTGCCTTCATGCAGTTAGAGCAGACCTGTGAGACTTTGGCATCTGGCAGATTCATGAGGCAGGAAATTTAAAAATAAATTTAATGCTAGGCATCATTTAGAGATTTACCAGAATAGATGTTCATCTACAGTCACAGGGTTATCTTCCACATTTCCCTAGGGTGCAGCAACATCCTCCTTCTCCAGTGCTAAAAAAGACTAATAAAGAGTTGAATCTATCTTGCTATGTCTGTACAGAGGTATCACTTGCAGTAAAAAAGTAAGTTGGAGTAGAACACAACAGCAGACATTTCTTATCTTATTCTTCAACATGACATATCATCCCCCATTTCTGCTCCCTTTGCTCCATTAAATCCCTCTAACCACACAAACTGAAAATAAATAATCCTATTTTAAAGCCAGACTTAATTCTCAAAAAGAATTTTCTTACCTGGTGCAAAGATTTCAGGGAAACATTTCCTCAGCAAATATTACCTAGATTTGCTCTAACCTCTATTTTCCACAGGTGAGCTACATTTCAGTACAGAGATGAGGACTTGCCTGCTGGCTTGCAAGAATTTTTAACAAGATTTTTTTGTTTTGAGTGTGTGTTCTGTGCCTTTCAGATTTGCTTCATTGCCTTCATCCTTTTTAGGCTCTCTAAAAGAGAATTAACCATGTCCATTCCCAGCTTTGCCAGCTCCACTGCTGAGAACAGCTGGGTGAAGAGAGGAAATATTGAAACCTAAAAAAAAGAAAATTCTGATATTTCCACAATAAAACCCTCAAAACATTTAATCTTAGAAAAAATGAGTTCTCCTGCATGTGAAGTCATTCCCTGCTCGCTTCCTTCTCTTTGTCCCTGAGGTTTGTTGGCTGAGCTGGCTCCATCCTTGGGCTAAGCAGGAGAACACATCAGAGCAGCTGAGCACACATTAACACCTCCTCCCCACCTGGACCACAGCTCTAAAACAGTACAAGGGCTCATGATGCCCTGCAAGTAATTAAAACCTTTGGCTCTCTCCTCCTCACTGAACCTTCTCAAAAGCACCTCTGTCTAAACATGGGCCAAATAAAGTGTGAATTGAAAAGAGGACAGGGAAATTAGATCAAACTGAGTATGTAGCATTCTCATTATCCCTCATGTCAGACAAGTCAGAAGCACTTATGTAATTGGGCCTCCAGACTCAAGGCAGTCAAGTGTTAAGACAGAAAAGCAATCCCAGGACTTCATGCTGGGTTTTGACAAATAGAAAAACACAGAATTAGGCCAAGAGCTTCTCATTAATGTGAGTTTTTAATTGTAGCATGTCAAACCCAGGCTCACCATGTGGCACATGTGGTCAAAGAGGTAAGAAAGTGTGTAGTGCAAAAGCTGGGAGAGTGAGGGAGGGAATTTCCTGTGTCCCAGGGCACACATTTGTGTGTGGATCAGAGCAGGAGCCCTGGTGAGAGCCCATGACCCACGTGTGAGGAGCACAGTGCACAGAAACACAGGGGGAGGCAGCGGCCCATGAGCAATCGCTGTGAAAAGGGATGGGGGTGGGGAATTGTGCACAGGCCTTTTCTTAGCTTCTGCTGGAAAAAATAAATAGACCTTTTAATCTGTGTTCTCCTTGAAGCCTTCTCTATTGACCATTCATTTCTTCTGTCCCTTCCCAGCTCTTTACCTCCTCTATATGGCTGATGAATATGCAAATGTATAATCAGTTCTGTAATAGCCTATCCTTTCTAAAAACAGGCTATAAATTTGGATCCTGAGCAGCAGGTTCTAAAAAGCCTATTATATGACATGGCTGGGGGAAGAGGCCACACACCAGAGCTCACCAGAGCTCTTTATAACCTGTGTGAATGCAGGGAGGAGGAGGGTCCTCCCCAGAGCCTTGCTGGCAGCCAGAGGGACAACACCTTCTGCAGAGCCATGCACCAAAGCAGGGCCTGAGACACTGCACGGTCTGGGGAGCTGAGGGCAGGCTCAGATTTGGGGAGCTGAGGGCAGGCTCAGATTTGGGGAGCTGAGGGCAGGCTCAGATTTGGGGAGCTGAGGGCAGGTTGGCTTTGGGGAGCTCTCAGAGCCAGCAGGACAGGGGACAGGTGGTGCAGGGGGCCAGGCGGAGCCGAGCCCATTGGATGCTCCGTCCATCCCTACATCTCCATGGAGCACACAGGCCCTGCTGGGGCACACAGGCCCTGCTGGGGCACACAGGCCCTGCTGGGGAAATGCCTGCACCCCAAACCTGGTCCCTGGCAGCCCCTCCCAGCTCCAGGTGCCACAGAGCCAGGTAGAACACAAGCTGTCCTGCTCCAGTGGGCTGCAGAAGGCAGCAGTGCCTGGAGCAGGGCAGCAGTTTGAGGCAGCTGCTCCACGGCTCCCAAGGAGTCTCCTCCTTCCCTCTGTGCAATAAACACAAACCCTTCTGTCCAATACTTGCATACACTTCCATGTCTGCCATTTTGAGGCCCTCCTCTGGTTTCTGCAGGGCTTTACAGCATTCCTGGGCGCTGCTGCTGCAGGGTAGAAGGCAAGAACTGTTAGTGTGAGTTTAATGAGATGGGACTGTCCTGCTACACAGGGACAGAAAGCTGAAGGTGCTGTGCCAGGTGCCTCAGTTCCAGATTCTGATCTGTAGCAAATACTGGAAGCCCACAGGAAGGAATCAGGCCCAGGTGTGTTTTACAGGTTTTTTACAGAAAACCACCCAGGAACAAACACATTTTTGAGCTCCAGAATGAACTGACAAGCCAGGTGGGAGCTGAGAACTCCTGCTCAAACCCTGGCCAAGGCAGAGGAAAAAAAGTTAGTTTGCAACAGTTTCAGTGGCACTGTCCCTGAGGCAGACAGGACAGTGCACTACACACTGCTTGCCCTGGGAACATCCATCACCCTGCTGGGGCACAGAGATGGAATGGCAGCAATAATGGTCATACCTCCCTCAAAAAAATTAGATAAAGGGACAGAAACTTGGACCTGGCTCTAATTCCAACTGTTGCATCCTGAACACATCACAACTCTTCATTTGCAGGTAGTGAATATTATTTGCATAATTCATTGGAATAATATGGCAAAACAAAAACATACAGGACATGCTATAATCAAAGATACCTGAAACATGAAATAATTCATAAACACAACTTTACAGAGATGGATATTTAAAACCAAAACCTTGTGATCTTATAAAATGTTCAAAGTTGGGCAGCCTTTGAATGTGGACATCATGGAACACTTTCCTTCTCCCCTTCCCTGTCACCTTCAACACAATGCATCTTGCAAAGCAATGCAAACTCTGCAACAACTCAACAAAACCAGGGGTGACAGGAAGAAGGAATGTTAAAAACTGATTTTAATAAATCATGTTACAAAACCCTAGGGCCAGTTCACAAAGGAGAATTGAGGTCTCATTCACCACTCTGAAGCTGGGATCTGGGCTCCCCAGACAAGGTCCAAAGCCTTGAGCTGAGCTTTGCTGTGTGTCACTCTGATCTGACAATTCAGATCCACTCTGGAGCCCTGCTTTCCTTTTTGTCTTTTTACACTCTTGCAAGCCTATTAACACACCAGTACTGTGTGCCTACCTCAAAGGTGTATTGGCCTGCATCACTGGAAGCACATCATATTCATCCCAGACTCTGATAACACTTTCACAAATATTTGCTTCACCTAAATTAAAAATAAAGCCAAACTCCAAAATACAGTGAGAGAAAATATTTTGATCACAAAATAAAACATACCAGCAAACCAAGGCCAGGTTCCCATAAAATAAGAATAATTAAAATAGGAAAAAAACAATGGGTGGATATACTTAAAATTAATCTTCCTTAAGTAGTGAAAATCTTTGGATCCTGAAACACCACCAAATCACCATAAATAAAGTACCATCCTCCCCCCTCCTGACCCCAGGAAACAAACCAACCCCAACACCCCATAATTTGCTGTGATCAGCACATCTTAGGCACAGGATCTGGAGATAGTTATCAGGAAGGGATGCTGGCAGATTACAGGGTCCATTCAAAGAACATGCATTTGCCACTTCTTCCCCAAATTTCAGACGTCTCTCCTCAAAGCAATCCCTTGCATGTCCAGCTGCACACCCTGGAGGTTGTGGATCCAAGGGGAACAGCAACATTCTCTGCAGGATGCTTTCAACTACTTAAATCCTGACTGAAGCTCTTCACATAAACTACCAGTTAAACTGAAAACATTACAAGAGAGGGGTCTGACAGTGGCAAAGATACAACATCACTATGTTGTACAGTGGCTACAGCTCAGAAAATTTACATGTTATCAAATGGGAATCCATGACAAACTCAAATCTTCACATGAGACTACACAGAAGACTTTATGGAAATGGAAATGTATGGATGCTTTTTCCTGTAACAAGAATATCTGTTTACAGTTTAGGTGATATTCTGTAACTATAGGAGGTAAGTTTGGAAATATAGACTATTATCAATTCTACTAAACTACTAAAACACTCTTAGCAGAACACTTGGCACTTTCCTATTCCCCAGTTTAAAACAGCAGCAGAAGTTACTCTTGTAGATGGCTCTTAAAGCCTCAGTGCATTAATGTGCTGAGACTGCCTCCTGTTCTCTCCTCTTATCCTACACAGCTAAAGCCAAACCAAAAACCTGTAACATTTCTGGCATTACTGTACCTTCCCTTGCAATGTGCAACAGAATCATGTCAGATCCATAAGTCTTCAAAAGTGATTCAAGTTATCAAAACGTTATCACACTGTTCCCTCTCTGCAGGACAGCATCTTCAGTCTCACTGCCTTTGTGGTGTGGGCTGAGACAATCCCATGATTTTAACTTGCTCTGTTTAACTTTTACCCTGCACCCCCAGTCCCTGCTGGCTCCTGCCCTCACTGGTTGTTGCAGCCCGGGGCGGCGGAGGAGGCGCCCGCCTGCTTCTGCTTCTTGCGGCGCTTGTTCAGCAGGCGGTTGTTGGACGTCTTCAAGTCTTTGATTTTCACCTGATCGTAGTCCACCCTCATGGTGGCCAGAGCACTGGTCATCTCCTCCTGAAAGCAAGCAAGCAAGGCAGTGAACCCCCTGAGGCAGTGAGTGCACGGCCACCCCACCCTGCAGCCCGGAGGGGAGGGACACAAGGAGCTCTCTGTCCCCCCAGGGCAGCAGGAGCTGAGCCCTCTGTGTGCTCTGCACCAGGAACCAACCACTCCACTGGGGGCTCCTTCCACCAGGGGCTCTGTCAGCAGGAGCTGTTCTCACAGCATTTCACAGGGAGCACACAGGACCAGGTTCTGCTGGCCTAAATTCCACGTGTCCCTGTGCCCAGCACTTCTCCCTGGCTGGCTCTGCGCCTCCACACAAAGATCTTTAAAAGTTTGTGCTTCAAACTCACACACCTCCTTAGTTTGAATTAATGCTTAAGTACAGGAACATTTTAAACTTTTTAATAAGGTTGTAAAGAAAAATCTGTTGAAGTAAACAAATGTCTAAGCATTTGGTTCAGGAAAGGAAAAACAATTCAATATCATGAGTATGTTGGTAGCTTGAGGGAATACCTCTGGGACCTATACAGAAGCACAAGCATAAGAAATTCTCAGAAACATGGAAAATAAGGCAGCTAAGTGAAAATATCTGCTTGATCTCTGACTCAGAAGATAAATGTTGCCTAGGTCCCAAAAACATTTTAGCATTACATAGCTCAACAGCTGAGACTACACATCAGTGATTTAAATAAAATCAGTAATGAATAAAATACACTACAGGAATGTTGCAATTGTCAAAATTCTAGGAATTTGAAGTCCAGAAAACTCAGAATTAATTGTAAAAGCATGCCAACCTGTTAAAGGCCAGCAGGAAAGAGTTAAGATTTCAGTGTGCCCTAAAGCAGGAAGCATTCAGCAGTCATTGGTACACACAGTAGGTGAGGCACCTGCTTAGATTAAGAAAATTTTTTTTTCTCTCCTCTTCCCCCCACCAAATGTCATAACAAGACGAAGGTTATTCAGTGCTGTTCCACAATTCAAAAGCACTGCAGAAAACCAGAATGCAGCTCAGCCCTCCCACCTGTCCCCCTACATTTTCATCACATTCTTTACTGTAATGAAGTTCAAACTGCCCCAGCACTGTCCTTCTCCTCCCTGGGTACATGCAGAGGCTCAGCAGGAGCATCATTCATGCCTTTGATCACAAACACCATATTGCTGGTATCTGGTGCAGCTGTAAGGCTGCCAATGAAGCTCAAATAGAATCCCTTCCTTTTTTAAACAGTTCTCATATACACTGCTGTTCTAACCAAGCCTGTTTATGGCACCCTTGTTTGACATGATTGTATTCAAAATAGCCACAGTATCCAAGGCAGCACATTTCATCTCCTAGGACACTTGACTTAAAGAAATCTGAATTTGGATTGACTCACTTTAACTTCATCCCAGTGGTCTTTATCCTCCTGCAGGACCCGTGCAGTGTGAAGAGGAGTTGGTGGCACTGACATTGATCTCTGAGAATAAAGAAAAATACCAAAAGAAGTTCTGAAAAACAACATTTGGGAAGTGATTTCTTGCTCTTCTCTGTGTATGAAGAGCATAAAATTTGATCTAATGTCTTCCAATGGCCCTCATTATTCCTGCTTCCAATCACTCCACAAATGAACTCATGTGCAGGAGAAAAGGACTACATTCCCCACACAATATTTAAAGAACAAAAAGAGAGAGAAATCAGTGCTGAGCTTCTTTCACTCTACTCCCTTCAGTCTGAACAATTTATCCAACCAGAGTTGGATAAATTTTTATCTATGTTTTAGATTTTAACTGTCATTTCACTATTCATTAGTCAATGTCTTAAAGTGGTTAATTTGACCTTATCTCCTAGGATTTGTTGTAGGAGACATTTTCTTGCACCTATGCATTAACTGAGATCACCACTTCATCAGACTAAGTGAGCCCCAAAGAGGAAATGACACAATTGTTCTGAGCAAGACACAGCTCAGAAGACAGAGCATCCACATGAAACTGAGATCTCTGCTCACCTGCCATGAAAGATCAGGAGAGGCTTTACATTAGAACAAGGGACAATTTCTGAAGCATGAAGCACAGTTCCCTGACTGAACTCAGAAAGAATCATGGCAATTCTTGCCAGCCCCTAACCCAAACTATAATTTCATTTGGATACTCTATTTTCCTTATGCTTTCTACCCAAGCTTGCTGTTTGCTGCTGTGGCATCCTACAGCTGCATGCCAACAAAGTCTAAGGAGATCCCTGTAAAACAAACTCCACACTGGAACCAGTGCTTATGTTCCCCCAGGCTCAGAGCAGCAGGGCTGCAGTCACAGAAGTGAAGCAGAAATCCTGACTCCTCTGGACAAGGACCCCAGCTGGCCAGGGTACAGGTTTATCAAACACAGCTGGGACAAGAGAAATGGAAAACAAGTAGACTGGTTTCAGTGCTGTCCCTGTCCTTGCTGCCCTGTGGAAGGTGCCTTTCTGCTCTGAGCTGCTGATTGTTAAAAAAAAAAATCTTATAGACAAGGAACTAAATGAGTCTGTGCTCCACCTAAACTGACAGTTTTTGCCTACTTCACAGTAAAACACTTCTGTCATCCATCTCAAAAAAAAAAAAGAAGGAAAAAAAAAAAAAGAGCCACAAGCACCCTCCCCCGCTGCTTGTGCAACTCCCCAGACATGTTTCCACTTTGGGATTTAGGAAAAGGGAGAACACAGACATTTATTGCATTGGTCTTTCCCTCTCCCTCCCTCTGCCCTGTGAGCTATAGGTTCAGCAGAAAAGAAAGCCAACCTGCAGCTTTCCTCCAGGAAGGGTGTTGGAGCAGGGCTCCAGTTGGAGCAGGTGCAGCAGAGTCTGCAGACGTTACCTCTAATCTCCTCCTCATTAACTGGCTCTGTGCATATTCCAAATAACAAGTGACACTGTGGGTGGCAGCTTCCTCAGCTATTAGGCACTCACTCCATGAAATTCCTCACCTGCTGATTGCTGAAACACCTTCTTGGGGCTTCAGACACTCAAAGCTGGAGGTATTTATTCTGAGCAGTGATTACATTTTTATTTGGTTAAAAAAGACTCAGAAACATTGTCTGGGGTCTGTTCTACAGGATCTTTACAACCTCAGTTTCTCAACTCTGAATGACAACACCTTTCTACTCCATCAGGATGTCCTACAGCTGCATTTTACTTCATTCCAAGGGTTTCCAGATCCTGCAGCAGGCATTGTAGGAATGGGGACAGTCAGCCACACCTCTGCTTCTGCCCATGCTTTGAGGATCAGCACAGACCCACCAGCACTACAGGAACAAAGGGAATCCTACAGCAGAAATGATTCTGTTCCTGGCTGATGATTCTTTGGGCAGTGAGAACAAGACTGGTATTTTTTTAGACACAAATGTGAGAAGTATAACCTACTATTTTGAGGGACACCTACAGAGCAGAGAAGGTATCATGAAACTCAGTCTTGTAGCTTCTGGGATTTGTGTCTCTTATTTGAAATAGTCCATATTGTATTAATAAAGTATTTTTTTCTTTTTTCCCCAAAAATTTCTTTTAAGAAGTAAATTCAAGTCATAGAATGAAACCTGAACTGGGACCATAAATAGCTCTGTGTACCACCCTACCTGGCAATCTCTCACATGGAAAAAGAGACCCTTGCTCCTCCCCCATGCATTTCCAAACTCTGCCAAGGATGAGAATTCCCACTGAGCATAGGAGCATGTTCACCCTAACACAGCTATGCACAATGGTGCCTGAGACCACTAATAATAGCTCTTTAAATCCTGCACTGATGAAGTAAGCACACAGAGTTTATTTTTATATTTTTAAAGAGAGTAACACATGCATATGCTGCAGAGTCAACAGAGACTGCCTGCTCACAGAACATACAGACATTTTCGGCTGTTGCTTCCAAGGACACGACTGTGGGTGTCTCCCCTTGTGTGTCCTCTGCTAACAGCAAGAAGAATTGTGGTTTTACAGGCAGGTGACCCTCTGAGGAGGGCACAGGAGGTTAATTAAGGGACCAGCAGTAATAACAGCCCTTCTCTTGCTGTGTTGTGTGGAGCCGTACCCAAGTTCTGCATGTAAGAACCAATTTGTGGTATAAAAAGAGATCTAAGACTCACATTAATCCAAGGGTGATTCATAAACTGAGAGACTGTCATCCTCTCTGTTGGGTCAGTCTTCAGTAAATGGCGAATGAGTTGTTTGGCTGAAAAACAGAACCAACAGGGCATGGTGTAGTCTAGGACTGCATTCCCAAATAACCTGGGGAACACAAGGACCTGCTGAATGAAGAAACACCATTTTGCAGAACTGAAAACACCTCCCAATTGCTGTGACTGTGTTAAGAAGCCACATACAGTGGGGCAGGTTACTGTGTTTAAAGGGGCAAAACAGGAAAACATCCAAAACAAGAGACAAGAAGGAAAGAAAAGACTGGGAATTCCAGCTCTGCTCTCTACATCACCAAACCAACTGCTTTGAGAGCAACAACTGGAGGAAAAGAGAAGCACAGGGACAGAAAGCTGCTAAGCTGCCTGCCTCAAAGATGGCAACAAGCTGGGCATTATGGGCTGAATGAATACATAAACTGATGTTTTAAGAAATGATGGAGACAGCAACTAGCACAGGCTGTGGAAAAAAGAACAATGAACTTTGCCAACTGAGAGGCCACTAAAAAGACAAAAAAGTCAAATAAATGGATTGCACAAACTGGCTTTGCAGCAGCTTTCTGTGAACATGGGATTTGCCAAAGCAAGAGCACTAATAACTGAGATATGAGATGGTGAGAGGCTAGACAAGAGTTTCATTAATGTGGGTGGACAGACTGGAAACACTGCATCCAAAGGAAGTTATTTGGGAGGACTTACACAAAATTTCCTTAGGAAACCTGTAAGAACTTCTAAAAAGGAGTTCTCTTTTAGGAACACCACATGCAAGATGACTAAACGCTTGTAGAAGTTGCCCAAGGTACAAGTTTAATTTGTTGAGAGAGGCTGCAAAGGACAAGGACAGCACAATACAGGGAAAAAAGCAGCAACCTCCTGCAGGTGCCTCATCAGCCTAAAGAACACCCACAAATGAGATGATTTTATAGGATGGAAGGCAGAGGGCCCCTATCTCCATCCACACAAGCACACAGAAACCCTACACACAGTGCAAGTGCATGTTCTCTCACTGAGCTCCTCTAGCCTGTTTTTAACTGCTGGAATATGAGCAAGACCCAAAGCAGAGAAAATATTTAGCCAGAAACCCATGACTAAAACATCTCCCTCAATGTTCAGCAGGCTGTGCTGCACACAGCCATGAGATGCAGTGAGGGGTGAAGATGCCACAGAGCACAGCAGGGTCCAAGGAGAATTTGTTACTGCTAAACTGCAGACAAAACCAGGATCACAGCAATATAAAGGGCTTGTAAGAAAAACAGATAAGCCCAGATATTGCTGACCCTTCTCTTTAATATGACAGGCAGGTGAGACTTCCAGCTTATGAAACTGTCAGGATAAGGGGGAATCAAAAATACCCACTTTCAGGACACTGATTTGAGCCCAGCAGCTTTTCATCAATGACTTATACTAAATAAATTGCTGACCTTGATTTAAGTGGCGGCTGGCAAATTCCCACATCCCAAAAAGCTAGCATGAAAACTTGCCATCCTTGCTGGCTGGATCACCAAGGAGGGCAAAGACTGAATAAATTCTTGAGAGAGTTTGCCTTTCTTCCAGCTCAGCTTACATTGGAGCTGTCCAGGCTGTCTCCTTTCTCAGGATTAGAGACTTCTGTTTCAAGAGGGTTTAATATCAGCATTCACTAGCACTAGCTGGATTCTGAAAGAAGGTTTTCAGTAGTCATTTACTTTTTGTAGCACAGAGGTTGCTGGCTGGTATCTGGGTTCCCAGTTGTTCTCGGTAGCACCTTACAAAAAATTGATTTAAATTGTAGAAGAAAGGGAAACAAAAGCTCAGACAGATTTTTAGAAATAGTATCTTTGTAAGCACTGCAGCACTGCACACTACCATGCTCACACTCATCAGCACCAGGGAGGATTTCTACCTTCCTCTGATACTTCAGCCCACTCTGGATTAGGAAATCCATATTGCCCCATCCGAATTCTTCTCTTCATCCCTGGAGAAATGGCTTGACCGGTGTTGGAGTAGAATGGAGGGAACCCACACAGGCTGTAAGAGTGGACAAAAGAATTTTCTTAACTAGGGGAATCCTTTCACCTCTAAAAAAGTTTTATTCAAGATTATATACTACTGCAGGCTGCAGGATCCCAGTGAACAATTACTTGTGAGTGCAGATTTAACACGTTCCTTTCCACATACTTACAGAATATATGTGATGACACCCAATGACCACATGTCACATGATTTGTCATACTTCTCAGGACCAAGGACTTCTGGGGCTGGGGAAGATTAAAACCACAAGTAAACAGAGTACCAGGTACTTCTCTTCATCTCCATCACCTTGTAAGTAGCAGCACACTTCAACAACAGGTATCAGAGGCATTAAAAAACCACAACTCACTGCAGGAACTGGGTAGCACTTTTGACTGACAAGTTCCTAAAGGCATTTAAAGTAGCTTTAAAAAGGAGGAACAGAGCTGGAAAAATGCCCTACTCCTCACCTTGGTGTCTCTCTGCTCAAGGGAGTACTAAGATTACCAAAAAGCAGAAGGAGCTACAGCTAAATGTGTGCAGGGAGACACTGCACTGAAAGAGGCAGGAGCATATGTTCCAGCAATCAGAATAGAAAGGCCCTACTGGAGCTGTGATAAAATTTTGAATGATACCTGGGTGGTGTGTTTAGCTCCAGCAGCTACAGGGCACTGTATTTTTCTTTGGCCTCCAGAGCATTATATTTTTTTCCACTAAGTAACAAAATTAGACAGAGATACATTTAGAGGGGATTTTTTTTGTCCCCTGGGGCAGGTAAACTGCCAGGGAGCTTGATTTTGTAAGGAAAATTATTCTTTAAACATATGAGCAATCATGCTGGTTTATAAAAAGGTGTTGAGAAGGGAAATGTCAGCTTGTTTATACACAAATATTAAGGCATAAAAACATACGTGTGTAAACTCCTTAAAATTTTATCACTAAACCCAGCTCAAAAAAATACAGAAGAAAGCATCAAAAAAAGAGTATTGCTAATGTGATTATCTGCTTCCAGTGAATAAGCCTCTTTCAATACAGAAAACTATACAAACTTTTATCAGAGAAGTAATTTTTCAAACAAATTAAGTCCTTTTTCCAGCAAAGAAATTCCAAGTTTGACTGCCCCAGTCAAACCATATAATGAATAACTATTAACTCAAGACTGAAATGAGTGCATGAAGGACAGTCTGCTGTGGCATTCATCACACAGTGCTTCAACTTTGGATAAAATGAAGGAAAAATTCTGCTGTGATTAAGTCATGTTGGTTCTTTATTACTAATTCCTCAATTTGCCAGCTTAAAGAAGTTTTACAGCTGAGGCAAAATTCTTCTCTCTTATTGTTTTAATTTAAGTTTGGGAAGTTTAGCACAGAAATTCCCAAATATCATGAAACTCAATTCAAATCATGGCTTTTATTGCATCATTCAAAGGAAATATCAGGATTGCTTCAAGTGTAATCAGAAGGAATTCCCTCTCTCTCTTTGTATATCCTCATTTGTATCTCCTGTGAAGGCTTTTTCCTCTGCCACCAAGGCAGAAAGCAGGAGCATTGAACTGTACTGGAACCAGACTTTAGGTTTGGATTGGATCCCAGTTTAAATCCTGGAGGCTAACACTTCACATTACACCCAGAATAGAAGATTTCCCACCCACTGCAAGGGAAGGAATGACAGAAACACAGAAGAAATGTGCCTTGGATAACTCACCCACATAATAAGGAGTGTAACAGGGGGTCTGCAGTGCATTTACAGTGGTTTCTTTGGCAAAGCCGAAGTCTGTGAGTTTGAGCACAGTATCTTTGTCTTTAGATGTGTAAAGCAGGTTTTCAGGCTGGAAGGTCACCAAAAGAGGATAAACAGGACAATGAAGAGATGTCTCTAATGAGCTGACAGGTCAAACCCACCAACACCATTTAGGTCTTCTTACTTCTGTCACATCCCCACTGAACACACAGCAAGTTCCCTCCCAACAGGCAGCATTTCTCCTCAGACTAAGCATCAACATCCTTCTTAGCAAGATTATTTGGGAGAGAAAGCCACAAAACCCTGTCCAATGGGCATCCAGTCTGGCTTCTTGAACCTCTCCCAGTTCCCTGCACTTCCTGGGACTCATCTGTGTGGTGGCAGCAGCTGATCTGACATCACACTGTGCCTCAAGCACCCCAGGGGCAGGACAAGGGAAATCCTCAGCCAAAGCCCCCATGAGCAACTGACACAGCTCCATCAAAATTAACTGATACAGACACAGGCCCTTTGCTGCTCCCCCTCCTGTGTCTCCTGAAACCTGAGGTAATTCCACTCCTGTTCCACACTCCATACAGGCAGAAGTGGCACAGAGGGAAATACAAGCTCCTGTGCCCAAGAACAGGGACAACAGGGTATTTCCATTATCTCCAATTAGTTCAACTCATTTCCCAGTTTACCCCCTGGTGACACCATGATGTGTCAGCTCTCCCTCCAGCTAAACACACAAACATCTGTAGAAAATCCACCAGCTCAGAGCTGTGGAATTGATCTGATGTCTCAGTCTATCATTACAAGCACTGCTCTCCTGCACATTCCATCCCCTGCTGTGTCCCTGCACTGGAAATGCCAGGGTGCAGCGAGCTTGGCTTTGCTTGTGCTGTGCACTTCAGAGCATGAACACAAAATGCAGCCCTACAAACTCTGGCAAACCCCTACAATGAGATTGGGGTTCAAACTTTACCTCATTAAACACTGGCAGTAACTGAGATCTCCCTGTTTTCCCAAATATTCACACTCTTATTGAAGTGGGTTAAATGCATGAAATTGGTATTATTCCTCCCAGAAGTTTCCCCTTTTTCTGAAGGGGGTTTTGCTGTTTGGGGTTTTTTTGTTTGTTTGTTTTTTGGGTTTTTTTTGCTTGGTTTTTTTTTTTTTTTTCTTAATACAAATATGATACTGAAAGCAACTAATAACTAGCAAAGACTACATAAAGGCATCTATAAATTACAGGTTCACTTGAAGGAGTGCTATTTTCTTGCTAGTCAATGGATTGCAAGTGGGCAGTACCTCTTTAACTAAGCATCTGACTATCATGAGATTTTTCTGCATTCCGTACACAACTGGAAGGCATTAGCACACATGAATATTCCAACCTTGGACTAGTTGCAAACTAGTGAGCAAATCCTTTCTCCCACTGGCAGAGGAACAGGGACACTTTGGCCATCTGACTGCACTCCCAGTTCTGTTAAAATCACTGCTGCCCAGGTTTCTTCCTGCCATAAGTTCTCTTCCCCAGCCCACACACCTTGGGGGCTCACCTTGACGTCTCTGTGTGCAATGTTCATGGAGTGCAGGTACTGGATGGCTGTCCCAATGTCTCTCATTATTTCAGAGGCCTCTATAAATACAATTTTAGAGAAAGGTCACATTAACATTCCCACTGGAATTCAGGGACATGCCTGGGAATGCTTATGGCTTACAAACAGCTTGCTGGAACATGGGGCAAGCGTCAGGACTAGAGAAACCCTAAAATTAGCCCCAACAGCTGTGTTTTGGGTTTGCAAGCACCAAGCCCCCGACTGCCTGGCTGCTCAGCCTCCTCCTGAGCAGGCACTGCAGCCCAACAGCTCAGACTCCTCAGGAGCTTGGAAATTCGTGCTTTAATCTGCTCACCAAAAAAAGCAGCAAGAGCAGAGCAGGTACACAAGCAGCAACTGTTAAAAAAAAGGAGCCCCAACAAGAACCTATCTCTGATTGTCCAGGACATGTCCTTGGTTGTTTGAGACAGAAATTTAACTTTCAGCTTCTAGTTCAGGGGGATAATCTATCAGATTTTCTAAAAATAGAGCAAGATAACAATATAGTAATTTTAGGATAGGTCACATCTTAATTCCTCATTGTCTTTAGAAGTTTTTCATCAGGAGGAACAAAATCAACAGTACTGTTCAGCATAGGCGAAACTGTCACCTTTGAAATAATATGTTTCAAGAATTTAACATAGCCCCAGTGGGAAATTCTAGTGGTGGAATTACCTTGCAACAGCAGTGCTCTGGGAGTCTGGAAGGGCTCAGTTACACAGGGAGGGGTTTCAGAGCAGGGAGGAATGACATTCCCATGTGAGCATTATATCACATCTCCATTGACAGGGAAACAACAGAAACTTCAACCTGATCCTCTGGGCTCTGCACAGGCAGAACTTGTACTGCAACCTGGAATCCTTCTGCACATGGCCTGAGAGTGAAATTATACCATCTCAGACAAGGACAATCAGAATGCAGAAACACTCCTGTTCTTTGGGGAAAACCTTGTACAACCTCCTCCCCTCCTGATCCTAATGGGAAGCTGTGGCTATATAAACAGGCAATGAACCTGGGGAATCCAGTGACACAGGGCTCATTTACCTCAGGAAAGAATGAAGGTGGTTTTTTGTTTAACCAGGTGATTTCTGACTAAGCATTTATGTTATACAATGCAGAAAAGTAATGCTTTTAGTAGAGTGCAGTTGCTCAAATTCATGAAATCAGTTTTCTCCCTGGAATTTGTACTTTAGAGAAGAACTAATAAAATTTCTAAAAATGCTCATTTTCCCTGCACAAGTCCCTTAAAGGACTAGAAAGGAAACACACAAGAAGAAAACAGACTGGCCTCTACACCAGACCTGCAAAACAAGTCACAGTAATTTACAAGCTTGGGTGTGTATTTTTCTGCTTCTAATCATTTTGTCAGGCCCATAGTTACAAACTCTATCACCTTACAAATATTAATGGTTTCACTCTGAGCAGAAACAAGCTCTGGTCTGCTGTGAGGGGGCAAGGAGAACCATGGTCAATGGGACCTGTGGTTCTCTGTCAATAATAAATAGCAAAGACAGTAAAAATGGCAAGACTAATCTGGTGCAAGCTCTGTCCCTGCCTCATGGCAGGGCTTTACCCTTGCTCATTTTCCCCTACAGACAGGCAGGTTTGTTTACAGTGTGGTTAATAACACTTCCTTTCAAGTAGTGCTTTAAAACCCTTGAACAGGAGATGTTTCATCAGATGTGATTTGCTCATTATACTCTTGACCCAGTGCTGCTGCTTGAGGGACAGCCAGAGAGAGATCCCAGCAGGAGCTGCACTGATCATGGCAGAGGTGCTCTGGCACAGGACCAGGGATCAGACAGACACTCTCAGGGTACAGAAATGAAAAAGCTGAGCAGATTTGTAGAAAGATTTTTCTCTAAACCTTCCACATTTTGCCTGAACTTGGCCAATTCTCATAATTCCTAGTTCTTGGGAACTTTTCAAAATCACTCTTAACACACAGTGGGATAAATAACAATAATAACAGCAACAAACACCACCATAGATAAAATCAAAGAAAAATTCCTAAAATGAAATAGGGGACAGAGAAATGGAGAAGAAATAAAAAATCTTTCACAAACTTTAAAATTAAACTTGCAATGTTTTACCTCTCTCAGTGAAAGCTTGGTCTCCTCTCTCCTGGATCCTGCTAAACAGCTCTCCTCCTTCCATGCTGAAGCAAAGAACACAAAAAACCTCACCTTATATTATATATATAAGGACAAAATTAACACCTGACTGTGCATCCATATAATCTCATGGAACCACAGCAGGAACAGATAAAGATTACAGGCTGCCTCCTATGCCACTGCTTCCTAAACATCACACTCACTCACATCAATGCAGAAAGCCATTCTGATAGGGCATAAATAGAAAACAAAATAAGATCAGGGAGTTTTGATGTTTCAGTTTAATGGACCCTGTCACAGGGAACATGACAAACAAAGATGGGAAGTCAGATATGCTGGCACTGGGAGGGTGACAATAATTTTGTTTCATGTAAAGGGTGGAGAGGAAGAAAAAGAAAGAAGCAAAGACATCTAAAATAATTATTAATTTGTCCTCAGTGAAAAGGACAATAACTGTAGTATTGGAGACTAGGGAGAGAATAGGGAAGGTTAGAGTCAAAGTAGTTATGACAAGACAGATCACACTGGATCATTGGATTTACATCTGAACTTGGAAGCTGATCACAACCAAAGCAGAATGTATTGGTAGAGACATCTTTCAAAGGTGTATTAATCAGTCAGCTTTAATGAGGACAATTGCTATGGAGCACAATGAAAATTTATTTTCTGGTAAAGGTTCCCCATTCTTCCAGGATGGCTGGAGCAGCTGCACTGATTTCCTTATCAGTTCCATAAAGGGAACAAGAGATTTCCTGTGCAAACCAAAATTGTGCTGCTGAGAAATCTCCCAGCTGCCACCTGAGCCAAGACATTCTCCTCCTCCCTCCATCCCTCCAAAGGCAGTGCCTGTGAGGGGCTGCTGCTGGTCCCTACCATTCCATGACAATGAGCAGGCATCTCTTGCCATTGTGGATGTTCTCATACACATCCAGCACATGGACAATGTGAGGGCAGCCCGAGGCTCTCCAGTGATACTCGACCTCCTGACGCGCCTTGGGGTTGTCGTACAGGAGCTGTGGAGAAAGACAGAGCAAAGTCAGCCAGGCACCACGGTGCTGCTGCAAGTGGCACCAGCCTCAGAGATGAGATCCCCATGAGAAAACCTTCCCCAGCCACAGGATGAGAACCCATCAGGCATTTTCACCTTCTCTGGGCTGTCCAGCTTGTCAGACTGAGGAATACACATTGGTGTATTCCTCAATTGGAAAACAATTGGTCCCTTAGAGCTGGAAGGGCCTTGAATGACAGTGAGGAGGTGTAGCCATGATATTTCTGAAAAATCCTTTCCTTAGGATTTTTTCTCCTGAGAAGCTGAGAGGCCTCAGGAACAAAATGTAACCAATGGTTATCTGCTGCTGAGGAATTCAACAGGTGCATCTGTGACTGGTCTCATGTGGTTGTTTCTAATTAATGCCAATCACAGCCCAGCTGTCCAGACTGTCTCGGTCAGTCACAAGCCTTTGCTATCATTCCTTTTCTATTCTTAGCCAGCCTTCTGATGAAATCCTTTCTTCTATTCTTTTAGTATAGTTTTAATATAATATATATCATAAAATAATAAATCAAGCCTTCTGAAACATGGAGTCAACATTCTTGTCTCTTCCCTCATCCTGGGACCCCTGTGAACACCACCACAAGGAGGGATTTTGAACCTGAGATGGAGACAGGTCTATCTTACCCACTTCTGGATGGAAACCAGCAATTTTTTCTTATGTGTTTGCAAGACTTTTAAACATAGAATCCCCCTGCTAAGGACCATAACTCCCCCACCTTCCCCCAGCTGCTGGGAGAAGAGACTTCCAGGTGGGTGCAGTGCAAATCCTGTAAGTTAAGTGAGATTTGAAACAATGAGGACTTTTACAGTGACTCTGAATGTGCTTCTTAAATATTACACACACTTCTCACCCCACCAAGGTAAGAAAGAGACCTTTGGCTATCTAGATGCCTGAACTTTTTTCTGTCACACACAAGGCCAGTTTATTTTAAAGGCACTGATCTCTAGAAGGGCAGCAAGAGCTCATCCTTCCTGATCCTGCAACCTCTGCACAAGAGGTGTGTCCCCTGCTGTCTGAAGCACTGCTCAGTACCCAGCACCACAAGTGAGCTTTGTGCAGTAGGGGCACATGGCTGAATTGTGCCTGCTCCTCTCTGCCTCAGCTCTCCAGACAGCACTAACACTTTGTGACAGACACCCCCTTTACTGCACATTTGTACAGCTCCTGCACGGTGCAGCTGTGATCTGAGTTGGATATGGTATGCCCTATGGTAATAACCATGGTGATGATGGAGCAGCAACAAAACTGATGCTATATAAAGCATTGTTAAATGTAGTGAAACAGAATAAAAAACAAGCAAAGAACAACCACCTCTGATATATTTATGTTAGAAAAGGCTCACAACAACTGTTTTCAGACAGGCAAGTAAAAAGTATCATTGATGACTATTAGGCCTTAGCCTGAAGCTCTTTCAACTCACATTTGCTATTAGGTTCCAGTGAAAACACAAGTGCATGATAATTGCTGAAAACAAGAATTAACATATAACCTGTCATTAGGGACCTATGAATCAGAGCAAGAAACTGCTCCCATCCAATAGCCAAGTTAAACCACAAATGGTGTCACAGGCACCTTCAACACAGGCAAACACGTATTTGAAAGGTCACAGGAAGGAAGATGCAAATTCTGTTTTCTTTATTGACTTCGGTAAAGACAATTTACATCACTGGGGGAAAAAATCTTACATTTGTTTGGTGCTTCAGCATCCCTTTCAGCAGAGTAGACAAAGAAACATGGCAGGAAAGGTCTGTAGCCCTTTGTACAATGCTGGGGAAGTGCTTGGGAATGACTGGAAGGAGGGTAAATGCTTCTCTTCCAGAACAGGAACAGGAAAAGGGTGACAAGTGCTCCTCTGCTGAGGGCACATTTTTGTTTTTCTGTGAAGCAGTTTTTCTGTGAAGGCTACAGGAGGGGACAAGTGGGCTCAGGAGGGCAGCTGGCCCTGCAGCTGAGTGTGCAGCTGCACTGAGCCCACCCTGGCCCCAAAGCTCCTGCACAGCTCCAGATTTCCAGCAGAGCAGGGGCTGCAGGAGCTCTCTGGCCAAGGGCACTGCCCTGGCAGCCAAGCTCCTTCTGCAGGGCTCTCATTGTGCACCCAGAGCACGCCCTTGGGGATCACTGTCTGCCTCTTCCTTCCTGCTCCAGCCTGCCTCTGGCCTCATTTCCAACAGAAATAACTTCCTAAAGAGAGAGATGGCTCCAATTTGGACAAAGAGCTCGCTAGTGAGTCCAAGGGTGCTTGCTTTGCTTCTTTCAGCCACCAGCCCATTCAGCAGCCTTTCCTTCACAGCCACTGTGCTCTAGCTCACTAGGATTGTCCACCAGAATTTTCCCCTCTGCCCTTCTGAGTTTGGGCTGTTGCCTAGAGGTCTCTTCAAAAGTTCATTAAATTACATGTGCCACAATAAAGCCCAAACACCCTCAGGACTAACCAGGCCTTCCAGTGTTCATTGTTTGGATATTACTGGATCAAAGCCACTTCTGAGCAGGATGCTTCCAAAAGCTTCTCCTCTATCCTGTGCTACTGATCAGACATTCCCATTCTCTATACTAATGTAACTGCACTATCACCTGTGTCTACTGTGCTCGCACAGTGCACAGAGATGCTATTTTTCATGTCTGTACCAAGTGCTTATGAAAACTGTTTCAAAGAATTCAATTCTCCCTCTCTGAAAAGCTTTTACAAGCATTTGGATGCACACAAGGATGTTACAGTTTCTTTTCTCCACACTTCAAGTAAGTTTTGTACACTTTTTGTGCCAAGATTGAATGCACTCATGTCAAGATGACACCTGGAGGAGCAGAGAAAGGGAAATTCAAAAATAAAGAGCACACACACATACCAAGTAACATCTGATACACCAACCGTTAACCTTTGGATTTCTCCTTCTGAACTTCAAAAATAAATTAAATCTTCTCTTTATGTCTAAAACTGGAAGGCAGAACTGTACCTTTTAAGACATTTTAGAGACACAGACACTTGTAAAATGAAAGCTGTGTAGGGTTGAAAGCACCAATTTCTGCAAAATTTAGATGATGATTTAGATACACAGTCTAAAATTTTAGACTTGTAATTAAATATCACAAACTTGCAAAGAACCCAAATGGATATTTTGCCATCTTCCTGAGCCCAAAGAGTGACTGTACTTCTACTGCTAAAATAGCCTTGATAAGACTTCAACCAGGTTCCCTGATATTGTACTAAAGTGCAGAGGCAGTTGTGAACAAACCCAGAACTTCAGATCAGTTTTCCAGTGCTGCTGGTTTGAGGGAAGAGCAGCTTTGCCCACAGGAGCCCCCAGTCCTGCCCTAAAGCTCCCTCAGGGTTCAGCTGAGTCACAGCATGTCACGACAGGCTGTGGGCAGGATCATGAACCAGCCCAATTTCAAAAGCACACAAACCCTAGAGAAATGCTCCATCTCCCAGTTTCTCATGAGACAAAAAACACAGCAGCCTTTGCACAACTCCATGAGTGTGTGGTCAGACAAGACAGTTTGCACCAGGAGCTGCTCAGTACAAAAGTGGAGTTTGGCTGGAGCTCAGCATCACCAAAGCACTGCCTAAAAGCAGCAGATGAACCGGGGAGGTCACCAAAAATGGGGTGATGGATGGAAGGTAAGAAAGTACAGGGTGTGATCCACACAACTGTCCTCAATATCTGAAAAAGCTGAAGAGGGAAAAGAGCAGCACAGTGGGAATGTTCAGGCTGTTCCTGAGGAACAAGAGGGCAGATGCCAGCAGAAACCCCAGGATGTGCTGCCAGTTCAGGGCCAGGACAGTGCAGAAAGGCCTGAACTGTTATTCTGGGGCATTGGCCTAGCTGGGGTTGGGGAGCACCTGCCAAACAAATTCTAAACTGCAGAATTTCTTGAGAAAAAGAAAAAAAGAAAAAAAGAAAAAAGAAAAAAAAAGAAAAAAAAGAAAGAAAAAGAAAAAAAGAAAAAAGAAACACAGTATCTTCTAATAGCTTTTCCATTGATTCAGTGTGGTATACACAAGGAAGGACAGCAGGAGTCCTCATACCTTAATGGTCTGATCTATACAGGAAATAACCTCAGGGCTCCAGGGAGTGGCAAATGATCTTCTGGACTCTGAAACTGTAACAACTGAGAGGAAGATATCCATGGGCCTGGGTAGGGAACAGGCTGAGGACAGGAAACAACCACTTCTCAGTGACTTGCTCTTTAATATGCACTGCCAGATTACACAGATTCCTGTCAGACCTGCTGTCTGCTCCCTACATAGGAGCTTAAGACCTCCACTATGCATTTTTATTTATTTTAAACTTCAGCAGCTCTTCCTAGTTCCAAACAGGCTCTGTGCTTCTATTACAAGTGTTACAGGCTCAGTTCTCATCTACTCCATGTGCTACAACAAAGCAGCATCTGACACTGCAACCATGTCTTTCTTATATGCACCAATTTCAGAATCTGAACTCCCCTTCACAAGACAATCAGTTTTATAATCTCTCTGCTATCTTCCTCACAGGAAGGCTTCCCATTATTAAAACAGAAATGGAACCTGCAGAAATTTTCAGTGCTAAGGCTCCTCAGCATGCAATACTGACATATAGGCACTTATATCTAGCTTATTTATGTCTCTAGCTGGGAAATAAAAGGTCTAATGGGCTAAATGTAGGGGCTTTTTGCTTGCTTTCCTCTTTGTGTGTGGCTGTTACAAAAATGCTGAGTGCTACAAATAACCCTTGGCAACTGAATTCACACTGATGCACAGAACCTGACACCATTTGCAGCAGAGCAGTTCTTCCAGTCATTCTTTATTCAAGAGGGGTAGATGGCAAAAAGAGGCTTGGATAATGTTTCTTTTATCCCCTCCTTCCCCTATGCTACTAAAAGAAAAGGGGGGAAAAAAAGAAAAAAATGAAAGAAAAAAGAGCTATTAGTATGGCTTTGGATGTTTTGTCTTTTATTACATCCTGATTATTTCCAATACATCT